TATTCAGTGTTTTGGCAGAATTACTTTTCGTAACGAGAATTATAGTGTGGGTTTAATTTGGAAATTTTCTTTTGTTTCAGTTATATAGATCACATGTAGATTTATATGAAACACGAACAAATATAATACCATTGGTAAACTAATTATTAGCAAAAGGAAATAATGAGAAAGAAAATAAGGAAAGAAAGAAAGAAAAAGGAATATATATATATATATATATATATATTTTATGGTAAATTGGCCTCAGTAATTCTAGATTTATACAACCTTAGAAGCGTCACCTTCTTTTATCCCTTTCACCTGATCCCTTATCTACCAAACTCATTATCTACTTCGGCCTCCATCCTCTCCTTGCCTACCTTCCCAAGGTCTATATAAGTGCAGGTCTCGCCACTTCGGAGTTCTGCGCAGTCTTGGATGATAAGGCCTATGACGTCACTAGGAGTAAGCTGAGAGCGGGGAGTCGCGGGGGGAATTAGAGCATGGTAGGGTGGGAGGGAGATCATAGAAAACGGTAGCAAATGAGCAGATACTTAAGTAAATTTAGTATGATTTGCATATTGGACAGATTTTACAGGCGATGATTATCAGTGATTGTTTGTAGGTTTATATCACCTATTTTACTTGAATTCAGTTTTGTAATTCTCATGTTGCAGCTTAAATATGGCATAATAAAGACGTAAAATAAACATGATAATGATTGCATTAGTAATTATAATAATTATCATTATTATCATTATTATTATTATAACTGTTAATACCATCATTATTATTATCATTATCACTATTATTAGTATTATCATTATTATTACGTTATTACATTTACTGTTCTGCTATTGCCATTACTACTATTTTTATTGTTATTTTAGTATTGTTATTATAATCATATTAGTAATGATGATACTAATACTACTAGTAATAGCCATAATATTATTAATAATGATGATAATGATAATACTAATTTTGTTATTTTATTATTGTTATTATAATCGTATTATATACTAATACTACTAGTAATAGCCATAATATTAATATTAATAATGATAATAATAATAATAATAATAATGAGCGAGCGAAAACGGGAGAGCGAGGGAGCTCCTTACGGCTTACCATCACATCCAAGAATGACCACACGATTAGCCTCGAACCCCCGGTCATTTACTCCTAGTGACTTCATGCGCGAGACGGACGAATTGAGTCGCTTAGTGACCAGACCTGTACTTATTCAGACCTTGTACCTTCCCACTCTCCCTCCCTTCCTTCCTCTCCCTCTTCTCCCTTCCCTCTATCCTCCCTCCTTTCGTCGGTCATTCCTCTCCTTCTCCCATCCCTCCTATCCCCCCTTCCCTCAATCTTCTCCCTCCCTCCCTTCGTCGGTCATTCCTCTCCTCCCTTCCTTCCTTTCCCTCCTTCCCTCCCTACTTTTCCTCCGTCCTCTCCCTCCCTACTTTTCCTCCATCCCCTCCCTCCCTCCTTTCCTTCCCTTCCTCCGTCGCTCATTTCTCATCGTCTTTATTACTAACAGCTTCTCCCTTTTCACACACTGAAACCGCCATGTGCCCCCACGCGAGCGTCTTAAGCCTGCCCCTCGCCTGGCTCCCGCCCTCCCTCCCCCACTCCTCCTCCTCTCCCCACTCCTCCCTCTCCTCTCCTTCTCCCCGCTCCTCCCTCCCTCCCCTACACCTCCCTTCCTCCCTCATCTCCCTCTCTCCCTCCCTCCTTCCCCCCTCCTCCCTCTCCCCACTCCTCCCTCCCCCACACTTCCTCCCTCCACCTCCCACCTCCCACCCTCCCCTCTCCCTCCCTCCCACCCTCCCACCCTCCCACTCTTCGCCCTCTTCCCTCCTCCCTCCCACTCCTCGCCCTTTTCCCTCCTTCCCTCCTTTCACCCCCACTCCTCGTTCTGCTTCCTCTCCCCCCCTCCCCCTTCCTCCCCCCTCTCGCCCTCCCTTTCCCTCCTTCCTTCCCTCCATCCCCCGCATACCTCTCCTAGCTCATGCCCCTAGTAGATGTTGCATAAACGTACTCGATTTGAAAGCTAAGCAGAAATATCTTGGCGAGTCGTGGATGCCATACCAGTGGCCAGACAATATTACATTTTTTGGTATTTTTTGTATATCATTTTAGATATATTACTTTGAGATAATCGTAACGCAGGTTGTTGTGGTCGTTATATTAAATCGCGAAACGCCTAACACACAAGAAAATGGGCTTTGGCGGAAGATAATGCTAAAATAGTGGTATCCCCTTCCTTCTGTCGTGTCGAGGAAGATTAAGAATTCTTAAAGTTTAAGCCCGTAATCCCCGTTGCGTGGGATCCCGTCCCTTCCCGTTGGGGACTGAGGTCTTTTGCGAATCTGAGGAACTGTGGTCTTTTTTGGAGCATTTTCTTCTTTTTTGTGGGGCTGAGGTGTTTTTGGTCACTTAGAATATCAGGAAATGAGGTCTTTTGGGGTCTAGGAAGCTGATGTCCTTAGGGGTCTAAGGAGCCTAGGCCTAGTGGGGGCTGAGAAGCTCAGATCATTTTGGAGTTGAGGAAATGAGGTCTTTTGGGGGACAAAAGAGTTGAGGAGTTGAGTTCTGGGGTCAAAAGATCTGAGACCTTGTGAGGGCCGAGAAGCTGAGGCCTTTTTCGGTCTACGGAGCTGAGGTCCTTAGAGGCTGAGGATCTGAAATCTTGCGTGGGATGCGAGCCGCGAGAGAAGAGAGCTGGACCGTCTCAAGATACTCCATTTTATCTAGAGAGAGAGGTATTTTTATCTATTCACGCCCTGGGCTATCTCTCATGCAGACAGTAACATTGTTGGCGTTACAGGTGGCGTCCAAGGTCGGAATTTCCCCGAAATAGGCGGCCATTTTATGAGTTGTTTTTCCAGTTTTTCATTATAGAGTAGACTGTAAATATTTCGCCTCTTCTGTTTACTCTATGCCACTTCCTGCTTCGACTATTATATGCCTTCCTGAAAGATAATATTCTTGGGTGTGTCCTGGCCCTTATGAATGCCGATAACTGTCACACTTCTATATTTAGTTTCGTCTGAATGTCATTTAGTATTTTTGACTGGGCACAGGTGCATCGTTGATTTCACGTACGTGTTTATTTGTATATACATATGATTGTATGTGCAAATACACACAAACGTGTCTGTATATATTTATATATATATATATATATATATATATATAATATATAATATATATATATATATATATATATATATATATATATATATATATATATATATAATATTATATATATATATATATATATATAATATTATATATATATATATTATATATATATATATAATATATATATATATATATATATATATATATATATATATGTATATATATATATATTATATATACATATATGTATATATATATATATATATATATATATATATATATATATATATATATATATATATATATATATATATTATATACATACATACACACGCATATGTATATATACATATATATAATATATATATATATATATATATATATATATATATATATAATATATATATTATATATGTGTGTGTGTGTGTGTGTGTGTGTTGTGTGTGTGTGTGTGTGTGTGTGTGTGTGTATTTCTAAGTATATATATATATATATTATATATATATATATATGTGTGTGTGTGTGTGTGTGTGTGTGTGTGTGTGTGAATTTATCAGTGCATCCGGCGAGGCAAAAGCAGGCGATGAGAAGATGCGCTTGCGTCACGGGCGCCCAGGGTAAACACCGAGACAGATCGAGAATGCTTTTCGGGAAGGACAGGGAGGTTCTCAAGGATGTCTGAAGGCGAGGTCAGCGGGGATTCTGTAAGTTTATGTCTACTGATGTACTGTAACCATGGAAACGTTTTTTTTATTGATTTATTTCTTCTCACTCTCTTTCTCTCTCTCTTTTCTCTTTTCTTTTTTTTTTTTTTCTCTTTTATTTCTTTCTATCGATTTACATTTATTTATGCTATTGCCGAGATCAACGGTACTTATCTAAGCTACAAAAGTCTGCAAAAATACGCAAGGCCCGCCCACAATGTCAGAGTGGGCGTGGAAAGGGTGGTAGCGGGGGATCAGGGCGTGCGATCGCCGAGACTGTCATTCATGCCTGCCTGCCAGCGGCGGCGCGGCAAGGAGGCGGCGAGATAAGCTATCAGAGCCGGCGTCTTGCGGGGGTCAGGGAGAGAATATCGCACTGGGGGTGGGGGATGGGGTGGGGTGGGGGATTGGCACGGGTAAGTTCCTCGCTTGATATTCGTTATCTTTCTCCTCGTGTGTCTTTCTCTCTCTTTCTCTTCGTTGCTCTTCTCTCCGGTTCCATCCTTCCATCCCTCTCTTCCCATTCCTTGCCCTCCCCTCATCTCCCCTCCCCTTCCTTCCATCCCCCCCTCTCCTTTTGATTCTTCCCCACCCTGCCCTCGCCTCTCCTTCCCATTCCCCCCCCCCCTTTCCTCCCCTCCTTTCCCCTCTCCATCTACACCCTTCCCCTTGGCACCGGCGTCGATGGGCAGTGCCAAGTATTCCCGCTTGGGCTCGAGCCATCCCTTAGAAACCATTTAATAAGTTGTATTTTGGAGGCCCAGCGCGACCGTGTCCGTCTGGCTGTGCCTGCCGCTCGAGGATGGCCCGATGGATCATGTTTTCCTTTGACGGCTTTTGGGGTTTTTGTCCAGCGCGAGCAGTTCGGCGAAAATAAACCGAAGCAGGTGCCCGGCTTGCGGTTTAGCGGGCGACGGGTTGGGGAAGGTAGCGGTGGCGGTGGTATTAAGGAGGGGTGAGGGCCGGGTGGGAGGGGGGGGGAGACAGGCTAGGGAAAGTGGGTTGGGGAGGGGGAGGGGGGTGGCAGAGGGAAGGGATGGAGGACTGGAGAGGGGACAGAGACAGAGGGAGGGGAGGGGAGGGGACAGACACAGAGGGAAGGGCAGGAGGGGGAGGCAGGGAGGGGGCCGCAGCGGCGGGACGGCGTGCTCGGGGTATTACTGT